CTAGAATTTGACAAAGTACGAGTAGCAAAATCTTATACGCATTGGCCTCGTCAAATTTTTGGCACCGTTGCCGGTGATTGGCACAAAGTCTACTTCAGACTAAATATTCTGTTACTAATTTGGAAACTTACTATTAGTATTATTATCTTTGCTATCAATGTGTACTAAATATTACTACTATTACTTTTACTATTACAAGTACTAACATCTTATACAAGTGTTATTATCATTTATCCTTCTTATCATCATTATAGCATAGCAGTCACTATTATTAATACTAGTACTACTTGTAACTATATTCTATATTAGTATTATATTATTATTTTTTATCGTTAGTTACTGTTACTACTAACTGATTTCGTTTACCATTTTTTTCTTCATAACATCTATTGCTAATTAGTACTAATATAATTACTATTATCATATACTACTACTACTACTATTAATAATAATAATAATAATAACAACAACAACAACAACAACATTATCATACTACTATTTTTATTTGATCGCTTATTATTTTTGTCATCTTTGTTATCTTTGTTGTCCTTGTTATTCATCACTTTCTTTTAATTATTTTCTTCTAAGTACTACTACTACTACTACCACTTTAGGAGTTAAGTTCAGTTTGTTTTTTTAGAATTTTGAGTAGTTTATGACCCGCTTTTCTATAAAAGAGTTGGTCAATTTCGATCCTGAAACTGAAAGATTTATTCGATTACGCAAGAAAGGACAATCATTATCTTCCCAAAGCATAGCTTGTGCAAGTATGGAGAATCAGGAAGTAGAAAATATCAACCCACGCGAAGTACCACCACCAGTACAAATAGAGGATCAATTTGATGAAGTGGCGCCAAGGCCAGCAAACAGAATCCTAAGGAATTATGCTAGACCTGACCGCTTCAACTGTGAATCTAGTGTCAGAAAACCTCCAGTGGTAGCCAACAACTTTGAAATCAAGACTCGCCTGATTCAAACAATTCAACAGTCTTGCATCTTCACTGGAGACGCAAGTGAAGATCCACATAGTCATTTAATTGACTTTTTGGAACTTGTTGAAACAACTAAGTATAATGGAGTACCTCCTAAAGCTATCAAATTAAGGCTATTTCCTTTCTCTTTAAAAGGATATGCCAAGACTTGGTTGCGAAGTTTGCCACAAGGTTCCATTACCACATGGGATCAAATGACGCAGAAATTTTTAAACAAATATTTTTCCCCTGCTAAAACCACAAAGTTAAGACAAGACATATCTAATTTCTTACAAACTGACACAGAGTCAGTTTATCAAGCTTGGGAAGGGTTAAAAGCAATGTTAAGAAAATGTCCACACCACGATATTCCTGAACATATGCAATTGTATATTTTTTATCACGGGCTAAAACCCTCTTCTAAAAATGTGATAGATGCAGTTGCAGGAGGTTCAGTAATGGGAAAAACAACAAAGGAAGCATTGCAATTGTTGAATGAAATTTCTGAGAATGCCATCCAATGGCCATCTGAGCGTATAATTATCAAGAAGGCCGCTATAGTAAATCAGGTTGATGCTTTAAATACACTAACACAACAAATTGTTTCTTTGGCACAAAAGTTTGAAACTTTTCAGGTGAATACACAACAACCAAGCCAATCTGAGGCTAGTGACATGTGTGGAGGAAATCATCAGAACCATGAATGTCAAGAAACCAATCACAATGATGAACATGTCAATGTCATCAGTTACAAGAAGTATCCTTTTGGAAGTCCAACGGCATATAAACATCCAGGATTTCAATGGAGCAATCCAAATGGTGCAGAGAACTCTCAAAGCTTCCAGAAGCAACAAATACAGGGTCCACCCGGATACCAGAATCCAAACCATAGTCAATCAAACTTTAGACCTTATCAACAAGCAGGGCCCTATCAGCAAAGGCCTCAACAAGCTCATTCAAGTCTTGATGATCTTCTGTATAAGTATATTAAGGTCACTAATGAAAAGATGGAGAGCCAAAATTCATCCCTCAAAAATCTGGAAATACAGTTGAGCCAATTGGCAGCTCTTGTTTCAGAAAAAATTCAAGGTCCCTTACCAAGCAATACAGAGAAAAACCCAAAAGAGCACCTTAAGGCCATCACCTTACGGTCAGGTAAGGATCTTGATGAACCCTATGCAGACCAGTCAGAACAACAAGTAAACAACGGTAAGAATATTGAAATACCCTCTGAATCATCTGAAAAGAATGAAGTCAAGAAAAAAGATGAAAAAAATATTGAAAAATTGACTCCTCTCCCTGTGAATATTCCCTTTCCACAAAAAATGAAAAGAGAAAAGCTTGACAACCAATTTGCAAAATTTTTGGAGATTTTAAAACAAATTCAAATCAATATTCCTTTTACTGATGCTTTGTTACAAATGCCTTCATATGCCAAATTTTTAAAGGAAATTTTGTCAAGTAAAAGAAAATTAGAAGAAGTTTCTGTGGTAATGCTTACGAAAAAATGCAGTACTATACTTCAAAATAAGCTACAATAAAACCTTGGTGATCCAGGCAGTTTTACAATTCCATGCACTTTGAGAGGAATATATTTTGAAAAGGCACTTTGTGATTCTGGAGCTTCAATAAATTTAATGCCATTTTCTATCTTTAAAAAGTTAGATCTTGGTGAAATAAAAGACACAAGTGTTTCTCTTTAGTTTGCGGATCAAAGTACTAAGAAACCTAAGTGAATAATTGAAAATATACTCGTAAGAGTAGATAAGTTAGTTTTCCCTGTAGATTTTATAGTACTTCAAATGAAAGAATGTCCTAATGTAACGACCCGACCGGTCGTTTTGAGCTTTTGCACTTTGCTCGCCAGTTCTTGGGCATGATTTGCCCTGTGTGGTGTATTATGACTTATGCAAATCGTTGGTGTTGGATTTTAGGTTAATCAGAATTTAATTTGGAAGAACAGTCTCAGTTGAAAGCTTAAAATTTGAAAGGTTTGACCAATATTTGACTTATTTGTATATGATCTCGGATCGGAATTTTTATGATTTGGTTAGCTTCGTATGGTAATTTGGGATTTAGGATCGTGCTCGATTTTTTTTTGGAAGTTTGTAGTTTAATTAGGCTTGAAATGGCAAAAATGAGAAGCCGAAGTTTGGAAATTTGACCGAGGGGTTGACCTTTTGATATCGAGATCAAAGTCCGACTCAAGAAGCTGGAATAACTCCATTATGTCATTTATGACTTGTGTGCAAAATTTGGGGTCAATCGGACCTGATTTGATAGGTTTCGGTGTTGTCTGTGGAATTTGAAATTTCTAAGTTCTTAAGCTTGAATCCGAAATTGATTTGGTGTTTTGATGTTGTTTTGAGTGATTTGAAAGCTCGACAAGGTGTTAATGATGTTATGGGAGGTGTTGGTATGTTTGGGTTGAGGTTTGAGGGCCTCGGGTGTGTTTCGGGTGAGTTTTGAGCGAGTCCGGACATAATTAAACTTAGAAAATGGATGGGGGCAGAAGTTTTAGTGCTGGGCTCAGTGGATTTAGTGCTGGGCGCGGTGGTCCGCGGTCATGAAGATCTGCAGGTCGTCGGTCCAACTTTGAAAGCTCATATCGTTTGATCTACAAGGAATTTTGAAATGATTCAAAACCGAAAGTTGTAGTCCTTCGTGTTGAGTTTCCATAAAGGTAAAGATATTGCAATTTGGACATATGTAGAAAAAGTTATGGCCAAAATACTAAAGCCTGTCACTACAGAGGAAAGCTGTGCGGCCGCGGTTGTTTTTGTGCGGACCGCACTGGTTTGTGCGAACCGCGGTCGGTTTTGTGCGTCCCGCGGAGGGTGAAATCTAAGGGGTACTCTATAAATACGAGGTTTTGGGTTTTATTTGATATTTTGACCTACAGAGCTCGGATTTTGGCGATTCTTTAAAGGTTTTTCAAGAAAGTCATCGGGGTAAGTGATTTTAACTCAGATTTGGCTAGAATACATGAATTTATCACTGAATTCATCATTTAATTCGTGATTTGGGATGGAATTTGGGAAGAAAATTGTGAAACCTTTCAAAAATATAAAATAATGATTTGAAGGACCAAATGGTATCAGAATTGGATAATTTTGGTATGGTTAAACTCGTGAGGGTATGAGGATTCTAAAAATATAAATTTTACCCGATTCCGAGACGTGGTCCCGGGGCTCGGGTTTTGCTAATTTCGGGATTTTTGATATTTTTCGAGTGTTTTCGCTTGAGATTTGTTCCCTTGGCATATTGTGATGTATTCGTTCTGATTTTGGATAGATTCAACGCACGTGGAGGCCAATTTGAGGGGCAAAGGCATCGTGAGCTAGAGGATTAGCCGGTTCGAGGTGAGTAATGATTGTAAATGATGTCCTGAGGGTTTGAAACCCCGGATCGCATATCGTAGTGCTATATTGAGACAACATACGCGCTGGATGATGAGCGTGGGGTCTTTTACTACTGGGGATTGTAACTTGGTCTATCCCGATTGATGATTTTACCGCGTATTTGACTGAAATTCATTTGTTATCATCATGATTTGGGCCGATTGCTATATTTGGGCTTCGTGCCAACTATTTGAACCCTTCCAGGATTTTTATCATTGTTTCCCTCACTGCTTGACTTATTATTTGAACTCAGTCCCGTTGATATCTACTGTTTTAAAAACTCAGCCATTTTTACTCAGATTTGAAACTTAAATGATATTTCTACATCATGTTTTAGGCTGAGAACTACTGTTTTACTAAGGCCCAAGGGGCTTGTGATGATTTTTGGACTGAGTGAGGCTGAGGGCCATATGTGAGGATATGTTGAGTGATATGAGGCCGAGGGCCTGAGATACTTTATATGCCATGAGGTGGATTGAGTGTTGTGGGGGCGAGTGCCGAGTGATGTGAGGCCGAGTGCCGAGTGATGATTCCACAAGGTGGCTTGATATAGCGCTTGGGCCGTAAGGGGCCCCTTCGGAGTCTGCACACCCACAGTGAGCGCGGGTACCCATTATGATCTGAGAGTGAGCCCGAGGGCTGATACTGTTCTGAGTGATTGATACTGAGCCCAAGGGGCTGATACTATATTGAGAGTGAGCCCAAAGGGCTGATACTGTTCTGAGCGATTGATACTGTGCCCGAGGGGAGGATTTCTACTTGTTATTTACCTATTAAATTACCTGTTTTACTTGTTTAAAAAAAGGGATATCATTTGATTTCTTCACTGATTACTGCTTTAAGTTATTTTATTGCTTGATATGGAATTGCTTTGTGCCTTTATGTGTTTTCATACTTTCAGCCATTATTTATAATTATTAATCACTGAGTCGGAGTACTCACATTACTCCCTACACCATGTGTGCAGATTCAGGAATCGCAGAGTTCGCTCCTAAGTGCTGATTCTCCCAGTCCAGGCAGTGATTTGGAGACTACGAGGTAGCTGTTGGCGTTCGCAGCCCCGTGCCTCCTTTATCTTATCATTTTCATGTTTTTAGAACTATTGTATCAGATTTAGTGTTCAATAGACTTGTATCCGGATTTCTTAGTTGCTCATGACTTGTGACACCCCGGTTTGGGCTGTGTCAGGATGGTTTCTACTGTTGTTATCGTTAATTTCGCAAATTATTGTTATTATATCACGTTTTAGAACTACTTATGGTATTTAACTATTTAAAAGAGGTGGTCTGTTTTGGTCTGGCTGGCCTTGTCTTCATGAGAGGCGCCATCACGATCTGATTTGGGGAATTGGGTTGTGACAAGTTGGTATCAGAGCCTAGGTTACATAGGTCTCACGAGTCATGAGCAGGTTTAGTAGAGTCTCGCGGATCCGTACGGAGACGTTTGTATTTATCCTCGAGAGGCTACAGAACCTTTAGGAAAACTTCACATTCTTGAATTCTTATCGTGCGTCCTTGATTAAGCTTGAAAAATAACTCTTGAAATTCCTTCCACGCGTTCGTATGCATGCATGAGCGTTCAATATTAGATGTACATCGATGGCTTGTGATTCCCTGATCGAGGGACGAGATGTGATCTCTGTGTGTTGATGTTGGGCCAGTCTGGAGGACTTGAGGCCGAATTTTTGCCTATAGCTTGAGCACCGAGGTGCTGACTGTGCGAGCAATTATTTTTGAACTTATATGTTCGGTAGTGTCCCTATTAGTGGGAGTGATGGCTGAATAACTATGTGATGAGTATGTTAGTACTGCGAGATGTATCCATCTTGATTTGAGGTATAGCCTCGAGTTATGGGTGTACAAAGAGTCTTTTCAGGTGTCCTAGTTGGGAGTGAAGTAAATTTCATGTTGCGGTATGAGTTCAGACTCAAGAAGACTAAGTGACTGCATAATGGTTATGACGGTGGAAGGTATACATAAATGTTAGTTTAAGGCGAAGAAGGTGGGTTATCTCCTGCGAAGTGTTCTGAGGTTGTACGATCCTTATGTGTCTGTTAGATTTGCGAGTGAAGGATATGTGTTGCAACTTAAATTGGGTCGCTTAGTGAGTGGGTGTAACTATTGCGAGAGTGGAATGCGAGATTTACAGAAGAGTTAAAATTCTAGATGATCTGTCTTTTCACAAGCTTATAAAAGATTTGAGTTTAATCTCATTATGGTATCATGGCATCAATAGAGTATAATCGTTATGAGTTATTGAGCGTGTGTT